CGGCCAATAGGAGCACACCTCGCTTTTCAGACCGATGAGCTTTGTAAAAATCGACGCGTTTCAGAAAGGCGGGGCATAGAGGAGAAACAATAATGTATAGTATGTGGAAAATAATGTGTTTTTATAATAATGTAACCTTAAACCGCATAAACACATTTCATTACACCAAATAAACAAAATAATGTTCTTTTTTAGCAACGTCATATGACCCCTTTAAGACATCCAAACTTGCCAGTTGACATTCAAATTATGAGGAAGCTTATTTAAGTTTAAAACATTAAGAAACAAACCCAAAAATGACTGCAATTTTGTAATTTGGGTGTCTGTCTTTAGCTAAATTGCCTTTTGTAAATTGGCAATTGCAAAGCTTTAAAAATTGAGGTTTGTTTACCAAAGGATAATAAAGTTCTAAAATCCTTACATGCTGAACTCAAATGAGCAACTGACAACAATGCAGAGACTTTATTAGAATAATAATGAGGCAAGATCTTAAATTAAGTTGTTACTGAGCAATCGTAGCATATACCATATAAATTGGATTAATAGAATCTAAATTAAAGGTGATGATACATAGGCAACTTTTTTGAGAAATATTGCTTGGGCACTTTCCCATTGAGAATTGGCAACAAATTTCTATCTGGATACTTTAGATCGGTTGTGGCCCTGTGTCTCACCTGGTTGCCCATTGACGGCAACGTTGCCCAGCAACATTGTTAAAAAAGCTGCCCCGTGTCATCACCTTAAGGCACTCACCAAATCATCAAAGATGTCCCTCTGGTGCACGTGAATGGTGATTAGTGTTTCATATTTTGTCCGTTCAACAGCTCCAAGGTCCTTTGTGGTCATGTCAATCAAATTGTTGAGGAGCTCAAGAAAAAAATGGTTGGTTTTAGCCATGATCTTACGGTCATATCTGGCATTGCTCAAAGCATCCTCGGAATCCTTCGTCCAGATCATCTGGATTCCCAGTAAACCAACCTAAATAAAAGAAACCAGCAGTCCGGTTAATATAACTGTATCATTTTGCTCAATTTACTGTACAAGTTGTGGTCACAAGTGATCACTGTCACTATTTTGTCACTACCTGTGCAGGAAAGGAGTCCAAAAATGTGATCAACTCAAAGCCAGAGTCTTGAATGGCAAGTGCAGCCTGACGGATGACAAGGTGCAAAGACCTCTGGGATTCTTTCAGTAGTGCATTAAGCCAGACCTCCACATTGCCCTCCGCTATAACAGGTCTGTCCAGCTCAACTGTCTCACCTTCTCGGGATGATATTGCCAGAATCTTATCATGCATCTAAAAGCAAATTGTTGCAATAATGCTGGTTTAATTTTGCAGCAGATATTTTTAAGTAAATATTTAAAAATAATCCTAAAACATGACAATGACATGCAGCAACTGTTCCAGCATGTCTAAATTATTGGAACGGAAGGTCAAAGAGTAATATTTTGCTTATTTAAAGTAGTGATCACCTTTTCATGGAAGCGGACACATTTGATGTTGTCAAAGATGTTGAGCAGGTGAGCCTGGATGGTGTGTGAGTCAGATGCTTGGCCCAAAATCTCCAGCAGGGCAGGATCTGACACAAAGAAGAAACGTGGAAATAGCAATCGCTTCTTCTCCAGATACCTGCAAAGTAGGGGGAAAAAAATGCTTAAATCAGCTGCACTATGAAGAGCTCTACTCAACCTCACAAAAAAATGCAACTCAAAAATATGAGATTTCAGAAATTAAAAACATTGGCAAACTTGTTTATCACCGATTTAATTTCCCACTCAATCTACCTACTGTCAACTGTGACGACAGAACTGCAAAGTTCCCAGGTGCATCTTGGTAAAGAAACTGAATCCTGAAATAAGGACTTGAGTGACGTACCCTGTGAGGGATTTTTGACACATCTCTAGCTGTTCCAGCAGGTGAGGCAGCAGCTGACCCATAGTCTCATCTCCAACACACGACTGGACTACATTGGGCATTTCATGAGCTCGAGTCATGATTTTCACCCAGGATTTATCAATGTTGGAGAACCGCTTTGCCTCCTAAAATGGAAAGATTCATTTGACATTGTTAATAAGATTTTCTCATTAGTATTAATTTAATTGATAAAAATCAAATTTTTGAAATGCAAAAACAATGTAAGTATTTTACTGTAAGTAGGGCTGGGTGGTATGATGGTATATATTGGTACGACGGTATAAAGTGTCTATTGTTAGAAATTTTGCTATTGCTTATTTAACTGTATGCAAATATATCCACGTAGCACAGTACTAGTTCAAAGTTATACACATAAGAGTGATGAAACATGCAAGTATGAGAAAATAAAGAGTGAGATGTGTTTGATGTTAAATAGAGTTATTAAGCTTAATACGATGTGAAAAGAACCTGATGTGGTGCTCACACGCTAGCATTCGATCACTAATTCAAATAAGTTCTCTTTTGTGTCTTATAGCGCTTGAATGGTCACATAACACACACAGTTATGTCAAAATCGTGTGGATTATTCTCATAAACACAGTTAGTTATGTGTTAAATAAACAAACAGTTGGGTGAAAACCAGATGTGTATCAGTAGAATATATTGGATCCTTGCATTCAGTCTTAAAGTTTAAGACTAAAGGAACAGCATTCTAGCTGCTGTCTATGTCAATAATGTTAATTAAACAACAAAAGACAAAGACAAAATCACTCACTGCTCTTGACTGAATCACTTTGTATCTTTAATAAGAATCAGTTCATATTTGATTCATACAGTGAAGACTACACAGTGTTTTAGTTTTACACTTGATTATTCAATTTCTGTAATATAAATTTCTACATGTTAGGCTAAATAAACCTACTGTAGCTGAATTTTTTTTGTAAAACTTTTGTAGCTGAAAAAGTTACATTTTTATCTCTGTTCTATTGTATTTGTCCTATTGTTTGTAATTTGCTTCTTTGTTCTTATTTTCAACAACAAAAAATAGTATAAAATAAAATAAAACAAAACAAAATAACTAGATTGAGATATACTGTATATTGTTATTGTGAAATACAATTTTTCATAACGTGAAATAAGATTTTGGTCATATCAACTAAATGTAAGGATATATTGTTTCAATCATAAAGTGCATTTGTAAACCATTTTAAGTATGTAATTATAATGAGTTTCTTATGCTTTTCTATTGTATGGAGAAACACAACAAACATATCGTAAAATCCATCTTGTCTTTTAACATTTTTAAAAATGTAAGCAGACACTTAGCAGACACTTTTATCCAAAGCGACTTACAAATGAGGAGAGGAGATTTTAAAGAAAGGGTTTAAGAAAGCCTATTAAATAAGACACAGTTTAAATAAGCAGAAAACTGAACAATATTAATCTTAAACTGATTTAAACACATTCACTGCACATCAGGCAGTTAGTAAACATGCTCCAACACATTGAGCTATGATACTCATATGGGATATGTGGGTTTGAAATCAGTCATTGTCTTGACCTAGTCTTGTTTCTTCACTCTTTTCCCCATTGTTTCTTATGGAAGCCCGTTTCCGCCACTGAATAAAAAATAAAAAAGGTAATTGCGACTTTATCTCACAATTCTGACTTTTTTTCTCATAATTGCGTGATACAAACTCGCAATTGCGAGTTAAAAAGTCATAATTGTGAGATATAAACTCGCAATTCTGAGAAATAAAGTCAGAATTGTGTGATATAAACTCGTAATTCTGAGAAATAAAGTCAGAATTGCGTGATATAAACTCGTAATTGCGAGACATTAAGTCGCAATTCTGAGAAATAAAGTCAGAACTGCTAGATATAAACTCACAATTCTGACTTTTTTTCTCACAATTCTGACTTTTTTTCACAGAACTGCGAGTTTATATCTCGGAATTCTGACTTTATAACATGCAATTGCGAGTTATAAAGTCAGAATTGTGAGATATAAACTCGCAATTCTGAGAACATATCAGTCCCCTCGCAATTGCGTGTTATAAAGTCAGAATTGTGAGAAATAAACACGCAATTGCGAGAAAAAAAGTCAGAATTGTGACTTTATATCTTGCAATTCTGACTTTATATCTCACAATTGTGAATTTATATCATGCAATTCTGAGAAAAAAAGTCAGAATTGTGAGTTTATATCTCGCAATTCTGACTTTATAACTCGCAATTGTGAGTTTATATCACGCAATTCTGTGAAAAAAAGTCAGAATTGTGAGATGAAAAGTCGCAATAACCTTTTTTTTATTTTTTATTCAGTGGCGGAAACAGGCTTCCATAGTTTCTTCACTTTCAGTACGATGGTTAAAATCTAGGTGTCAATGTATGGAAGACTGAATTACTGATATTACCTTCGGCAGCTGTTTGGCTATGTCTCCACCAACAAAAACAGCCTCAAGGTAAATCCAGAGGTTTTGCACAGTCATCCAGTTCTCAATGATATCTGTTGTGTTGGAGAGGTTCTGAACCCACTTCTGGATCTGAGCTTTGAACGGTGTATTGTATCTATAGAGAGACACAATGTCATGGGCATCAGAGGATATGCTTAATAATTGGTATTGATTCATTCCACCATTTAAATGTAATGCCACAACACAGTCAATTTGTAAAATTCACAAGTAAATAATGTTACACTTTATTACAATAGTCCACTTTCTGACATTCTAATAACTATAAGTAAATTTGCAACTACATGTCAACTAACTCTTATTAGACTATTAGTAGACTGTTAGGTTAGGGTTAAGTTGACATGTCCATGCAAAGTTACTTATAGTCAGTAAAATGTCTGTTAGTGGACCATCTAAATAAAGTGTTAGCAGATATTAAGCAGAGAATCTACTAATACTAACATGTAGTGGCAAAGTTACTTAAGGGAAAAAAAAAATGGAAAAATGCTACCTTAACAGACTATTATAAAACCGCTGTGGATATCTTCATAGCCATGAAAGGTCACTTGAAATAAACTACTGTAACTGCACAGAGAAGAATTTTCCACAGAAATTACAGGTTGGTCTAACGCCTCACCTGTTGCTCATAAGTGAGCCAAGCACCATCAGACTGTCCTCCATGTTAGTAATGATCTCAGATGTGCTGTCTCCTCTCAGAAGGAGCTCACCTCTGGTTTTAAAGTGAGCAAAGGTAAAGGTCTTGTTGTCCCATTCCGCAATTACTTGCTTGAGTTTCTGCTCGATGTCACGCTCCTTCACAGCACTAATACAGATGTCCTGCACAAATGGTTGTTACACGTATTATGGAATTCTTTATTTAATTTTGTGAAATAAAGAGCTACGATCTATCTATCGATATCTATAAAACTAAATTCTGACCTCAATTTCTTCTTTGTACTTCAGCAGTGGGGCTTCCATGATGTTGCGGAGCTTGAAGTTATCAGTTTCGACTTCAAAGGTGTGACCTGTAACCTCAGTAATCCTCTTCCAGTGACGGGTCATCATGGCTTTGTTAGTCATTAGATCCAGCAGAGGGCAGCACTCGCTAAAGTCGTCAATAGTTTTTTTGAGGTCCAGAAATGCCTGCCACTCTTTAAGGGCCCGTGGCAGCTTACGGCACCTGCAAAACAAAACAAATCTCAGCAGGGTAATGCATTTGCCGAATATTGCACTGGGCGTTAGGATTAAAGTTCATTGTTGTGCCTGATTTCATGTTTAAAAATAACTATTATTAGATTTGTGAAATTTTGTCAACTATTAGTGAAAATGAATGTTGTTTGACTGTGCATAAACCTTGCTGACTGCAAATGACTTGTTGTAAACCATAAAAATATTCATTCCCATTGTATTGAACTCTAGTATATGTAAATTAAATCTGACAGAAAACTCTTCATTCATCCTATTATTATGAAAAGATTATTGTGTTACACTGGTACTTGCTCCAAAACAGCTGACTTTAATTTCAGTCCTTGACAGGCATGGAGAATTGATTCTATTCTCTGAGAAGCTTCTGCGATTACCCAGAACAGACCAGCACAAATGAAATCCCCTGGTGCTTTCATGCTTTTCAGTGTAACTTATTATATGACTGCCAGAGAGTGGATATTCAGAAATTTAGTTTGACTTCTGTAACCTTCTCACCTCGACTGAAACTCAAGTAGTTCATTGTTGATTCTGTCAATATTTATGTCGGCCCATGAGATGTCATAGTAGCCGTTGACTGTGTCAATGACACTGTTGTAGAGTCCATAGAGCTTTTGGAGAAGTGTCAACTGTTTCCTGATCTCAAGCAACTGAGGATGCTGGGTAACAGGTAGGCCAAAGAGCTCCTCCCCACCTGTGTATGTTATATACTTGCGGAACAGGTTGTCAAAGCGATTCTGTGGAACACCAGACCATTTTAGTAAATAACCTAAAGCAAGCATTCATTTATATGTACATAAACAAAACATGTACACAACATTATGTAAATAATAATAATAATATGTATATGTATATAAAAATAAATAATAATAATATTAATAATAAATGAGACCAGTATAAAAATGTGCTTTAAATAAATTATTCAAATTCAAATGTCACTTTAGTTTCACTTTTTCTCAGTGCAGTGCAGCATTTTTTTCCCCCTAATTGACCAATTAACCACTCAGAATAAAGTATCCAGTTAATGCAGTTATATTATGATAGCATTTCAATGAAATTCAAGTTATGTTTATGTTTATGGAAACAGACATGGTAAATTACCTGAAACATTATAAGCCTGTCACTGGCATCCTGAGGAGCCAATCCAACCACCATGGGGCCATCCTGAGGATTTGACGTGTGCAAAACCAGAGAAACATGTGGACATATTGTTAAAAGTAACCATGGTTTTATTGTAGTTAAAATTGTGTAGTAAGCATTGTTTTTTGGCGTATTGATTACCATTTGTTTAACCACAGTTTCTTCAAAGAATCACTTTGATGTTTGTGTGGTTTGATTTCTAGCAATTTTATGTTACAGAACACCCAAAAGAATATAAATACAGGAAAACAATTGTGTTTGGGCTTGAGACTGTAATTTCCTGAAGGAACATCTCAAAGTGAGAGAAGTGGATAGATAGAGTTGACCTGCCTCTCAGGACTCACCCCGTCATAGTCATGGTAGAAGAGTTGGCAGTCTTCCACAAAGATCTCAACGTTTCTGATGAGTTCTCCCCTGAAGTTTGGTTGAAGGGTCACCAGCTCATTCTGCACCTCTGTGCTACGGGAAAGCAGTTTCTCCCAGGTGTACCGAAGTGTGTCCACTTTGTCTGCTTCCTCTTTGGCAATCAACAATCCATATTTATGTAGCATGCTATACGATTCCTGCAGGCCAAAACCAGAGAAAGAGACATTGCCGTTATACCAGAGGACAATACATAAATTGTGTTCTGTCCCTATTTATTGTGCATTCTTAATGGTATAGTCCACACAAAAATTTATATCACTTTAGTTTAAGGGCCAATACTTGAAAATGTATTTAAAAAAAACTAATAAAATAAAGACCCTGCATGGTTTATTTTTTTATTTTTTTATTTTGTGTGTACCTCAATTGGACCAACTTGAAAGTCTATGGAGATTTGGTGTTCTCTGATCTCTTTGAGCGTTGCCATGGCGATACGAATATCATCCAAGTCCTTAATTTGCCTGTTGAGTTTCTTGCTCGCCTCATCTATAAAAGTGAAGATCTGTTCCATCTCCATGCGATACTTCCTGTTGCAGTGGTGACCAAAATCCACCATCCAACTCTTTGTCTCAGCAGTAAGAGCCAATTTTAGATCCGCTGTAGGTAAATTCAGCAACACACAAAGAATAAGAGCTCTATTTGTAGTTTAATAAACATCCAATTCTTTCTTTCAAAAATCTGTCATAAGTACACTGCTATTTACGTATCATAAATGTTTAAAACGAGAAATAATTAATGAATCTAAATAAAATTAATTTAAATAAAAAAGAATAATATGCATATATAATAATATTTGGAATTTGATTCACTTGAGTTGTGCGAAAAGTAAACACGCGGTAAACGCGGTTAAGTTGCTAGTCAAGAAATAGAATTATGGATTACAAAATTAGCAGAAAGTTTATGGATGGAGGCCAAAGCAAGTTTAGGATCAATTTTCGACATTAACGCACTAGCAGGTGAGGTAAAATAGGTAGAAGAGTGTAAAGACCATCGACTCTACCGTGCGACTCCACCGGGCAGGGACACCGGCAAAGGACATAAGTATCGCTTTTTATCTCTCCTCTTTCCACTTCTGTTTCAGTTTTTTATAAACTATTTCTTACTATGTGTCAGTAAGTTGTTGTTATTTTAGCATGTGTGTTTGGCTCAGTGTTATTTTTTAGGATTACTGATAAACTAATGTA